ACCTGGGCACGTTATAAATAACGTTAATAGTCATAAAACTTACGAAAATATTTTTATTCAAGGTCGAACGAATCCTTAGCTTATGGTATTTTTGAGTGTGTATGAGAGTTAGTGCCAGTAGGGCCAAACTAGGCTAACCGTTGGTTTCCGAGACTAAAATATTCGTATAAAACATATCATCATTATCTTTGATAAAATACAGTTAACAATATGTTTTAAACGGGGTTTTGGTCTCAGAAACCCACGGTTAATCGTTTTGCAAGCATTGCAATATTTTCCTAATTTACATGCAAGTGTTGGGCGTACCTAGATTTCGGTCAGAACTGAGTTTTTTTTAATTACACGTCAGCTTATCATTAAACAATTTCCCAGGTAACAGACATGCAAACCGTAGTTTTAACGCCGGACGCAATCGATCTTTTTCAATCACCGACAATGTTCAATCACATGCGACGTTTGGCTAAGGAAAGGGACCATTACCTACAGAATTGGGCTACATTGGTACTTAATGAAGGTCTTTGTGAGACTGAAAGTGAAAACAAAACTAGTAAAAACCCATCGACACAAAACATTAATCAGAATAACAGCGAAAGCCAACACTTGGCCGTTGAGCTTGCAGATTGGAAAGCACGTCTGCGAAAACAGAGACAAGAATTGTAAGTGAACCACACGTTTTTACTTAAATTATCGGAAATGTAACATTACTCAGTAATTCAAAAATGGTTCGATAAAAATGCAGCTATAAAATTGTATCAATTTCTTTTCAGGGAAGAAAAATCGGAACAGTTAGCCGAATGTCGCGAAGAATTAGAACATACTAAGTTGTTATTGACTAAGCTACGTTCAGACAGTCAGGAATGGTTCAATGAGGCCAGGAAAGCAGCGGGATACAGGGATGAAGTGGATGCGTTAAGAGAAAAGGCCGAACGATGTGAGAGGTGTGCACAACTATTGGCATAAAGTACTAATAATATCTATAAAATACTATGTTTATTAAGTAGACATATATGAAATTATTTGTTTATTAAGAATTTAGATTTTAAAATTGTTGAAATTTTAGGTTAGAACAGGAAATACAAAGGTATCGTGATCGTCTTGCCGATGCAGAGTACTACAAGACACGCGTCGCTGAGTTACGTGAGGATAACAAGGCACTTATGGACTCCAGAGATTTGTTGGAAGAACAACTACAACGCGCTAGGAAGAGAGCGGAGCAGTGTCTAACATTAGAAGCAGCTATGATTAAACTGAAACGAGAAGCTAACGATATTGCCTTGGTAAGTAAATGTTAACGAAATTATCTTAAGTGAGTTTTGTTCAATAATATTGACTGGAATAATATTCTGGTTTAAGGAAAGAGATGCAGATCAACAAAGAATTCAAGAACTGATTGAAGAAAATAATCATTTACAATATATTGCAAGGTCTATGCTCAGTGAAAGTAATAATAGTAACTTAGATACAGACAATGAATGCGAAAGCACAATAGAATCTGGTGAAAATAGTCTATCTGAACAATTAACTAGTAACGCACAAGCTAGAGCTTTAAAACTAGAATTAGAAAACAAGAGACTTCTTTCAACTATTGATAATTTAAGAGAACAGTCCATACTTGATGGTAGTGACAAAGTATTAGATTTAGAAAAGGAAAAGAAACGATTAACATTGAAATGTGAACAACTTCAAGAAAATTGTAACAGACTCATGCAACAGAACTCGGAACTGGAAGAGGTGTTCAAAAATGCATTGGAAGAAAATAGAAAGTTACAAGATTCGTTAGACAACAAAAAAGCGTATATTGATAGACAGTCTATAGACAGAGAGTCAGAGAAGAATAAATTACAAGATTTTGAAAAGCATTTGGAGTCTTTAACAAAAGACAAACAGAGAATTCAAATGTTGTGCGACTCGATACAAAAAAGAGCTGATGATTTAGAAAAATCTTTAGATGCTAGGACTAAAGAATTAAACAGTGTTAAACCGGAAGCCGATAAAGCAATGCGACTCTTAATTCAAACGGAAGAACTAAAGACTAAATTAACATACAGCGAAAAGGAAGCTCACAATCTACAAAGAGAAGTTAATAAATTGAAAGAAGCTGTAGAGGAAAAAGACGTAGTAATTGATAAAATAAGTACAGATATAGAATTGAAGAATAAAGAAATTGAAAGAATAACTCGGGAACTCGACGCAAGTCAGTCGATGGCAACTAGGCTACAAGACTTAGAACAAAAAACACAGGAATTAAAATCGCACAAAAAAGTAGATTCTGAAACGATTCAAACATTACAAAGAGATTTGATTACAGAAAAAGTCAATTGTGACAAATTCATAAACTGTTTTGAGAAACTGGGAATAAGTGCTTCAGAGATAATGTCAAAAGAGATTAACGTGGAGGAATTACTAGAAAAAATAATCACTAATGCAGATAATGGTGGATTAATACTTGATATTGCTTCAAAAGCTAATATAACTAATTTAGTTCCTCATCATTGTAATCATGACAAGAATCAAGGTCCCGATCCTCAAACCGAACAACTATTGGCGACGCTTCAAGCTGGTTTAGATCACTATCAAGCAGAAAATGCCAAATTAGAAGTTAATGTTGCCACACTTAATTCACAAAACGGCTCATTAATATCACAACAAATGACTTTACAACTTGCAAACAGTCAATTAGCTGCTGAAAAAGAGGAAATATTGAAACAACTTGAAGTTTTAAAAGACAAACAAGATAATCTCTTAAGAGATCAAGTAGCATTGCAAACACTTCATGAACAGTTGAATACTGAATATGAAACGTTGCTTAGTGAAAAAGAGCCAGTAAAGATTGCCATGAGAGACCTCAAACTTGAAAATCGAGAGTTAAAGGAGAAAATAGTTACTTTTGAAAAGAAGGCAGCTGAAGTTGAAATGGAAAGAGAAAATTTGAAAAAAGAATCGAGAAACTTAACAAATTTAAGAACGGAGCATTCAAAATTAAAAGACGATTTCAGAAACCTATTTACAGTTAGTGGCAGATTAAAAAATGAATATAAAAACATGCAAGATGAATATAGAAAAATGCGAAGTGAAGTGACGCAATTGAAATTAAAGAACACAGAGTTGTCAGGTGAAATAAACACAAAAACTGAAATAATAACAAGTATGGAATTAGAAATAAGCAAAACTAATCAACATTGCGAAATGCTTATACAAATGAACAAGAGCTTGGATGCTGATAGACGATCTCTGATGGACCACGTGTCACAACTTTTAACACAATATCACGAGTTATTGGCACATTCATTAAAAGACAAACAGCATTATCACGAAGAGGAGAAAATGTTTGCTGACAAAGTTAACGCTCTGTGTCGCCAGAAAGAAAAATTAGAAGAAAAAATTATGGAACATTATAAAAAGCTTGACAATTGTACACCCAAGCGACGTGGTTTCGGAGCTTCATTCGTTAAAAGAGTGAGAAAAGCTGGGACCGATTTAATTAACAAAGTGCCATCACGAAACAATAAGAGAATCGAAGACGAAAATCGTTCAAAATCGCAACTCACGTTAGCCGGTTCCGAATCCGGCGAATCGGATCCCGGCAGCCACGACTTCGATAAATCTTCTAAAATTTGTGAACAAGAGCAAGGTTCTTCAAATCTGAGCACCGAATCACCAAGACATAGTTCCGATTCAGGTTACAGAAGATATGATGAAATATTTAAGAAACCTGACAATATGGAAGGATCAGTGTGTAGTCTAGATCCGAGCAGGTTAACTGGGAACGAAGGAAACTTTACAAGGCGGCTGTCGACTGCGTCAGTGCACAGCGGCGGCGGTGACGATGCTTTGATTAGAGCTTCCTTGAGGAGGAGGCCACATAAGGCGGTGCCGCCCACACATAGGAATAGCTATCAAGGTTTAGAAGGGGATACCGGCTTGCCTGCAGGTAATAATTTTTTTATAAGATTCTCTATTTTTAATTTAATAACTATGACATTTCTTTATTAAACCCATCTTACTAATTTTATAAATGGGAATGTTAAGATGCATGAATGTTTGAAGGTATCTCCGGACTTGCTTAATGAATCTCGACGAAATTTGGCATACATATAGAACATAGTCTGGAAGAAAGAATAGGCTACTAATTATGTTTTTTTTTAATCCGCAAGGACGGAATCGCAGGCGACTGCTAGTATATGTATAAAAATAAAATGTAACAAACTTTTTTAGCATCAACACCGTCTCCAGTGTTTGGAACGGCCGGTTCGAGGCGGACCGTATACTTGGCAGATGATAACCCCGATGTTACTCTTAACTCCAAACCCCAAAGTACTCCCATCAAAGAGAACCCAACATACTTGATCTACAATAGAATATCGACTGTTATCGGGGACGGTGCATGTCAAACTGGTCACGACAGATCGGTCAGTGACAACCAACAAACTGATGTACCCAGGACTACTGCTGGTGAAGATTTACAGGAACATGAAGACCAAGAGAGGACATTAAATCGTGAAAAGCCAGAAAACTCTAAAGAATCAGCGATTTGGTATGAGTATGGTTGTGTATGATATTAGTAGACTGATAATGCCTTTGTAGCCTTTATTCTCCTAAATAATATAATAATCGAATATATACGCGATATGATAATATTATGATGACGATATGACAGTATTAGTTAGGCATTTATTTGCAAATTGAATTTTATTCTTTCCATACAATTTGTACTGAGATTACAGTAAAAATAATTTGAGGCTTATGTAGTTTTACTTTCTGTATATATTTTTTCAATGATTTATTTACTTTAGTATCATATGTTTAAAATTTTGACGAAAGATCCGTGCTCTGATTTTTTTAGTTCCGACAATGAAATTAATTTTCCATTTTAACATATTAAGACTAAATATATTTTATTAATAAATATAATTTTATTAATTTTGTGTGATTATGTATTCATTAATTTGAATATAAGTAAAAGTTAAAATTAATGATTAATCATAATAAAAATTAACATGCATTTGCTAAGATTTATTCTAGAAACTGGTCACAAAATATTCTTAAGTTGAATAATGATTTTTGTCTATCTTAAACATTATATGTTGAAGCTGCCAATTATTTTCTTTTTAGAGATAGACTCTAAATACCCACCTAAGAAATACACTTTTCGAAAGTTCATCGGTCAAATACTTTTATTTTTTCAAAAGAATGTACAAAATTAATTTGTTTTACAATTTTTCACCAGTGATTTTAAAATTAGTAAGTTATTATTTTAAAATATAATGACTATAAATTAATAACAATATTCTGGACAAAATGTAATCTGTAAAATTCTACAAACATCCCGATGTATAGGGTCTATCTGTGTATTGCATATTATCTTTAACATCTATAGAAATTCTTTGTGTTGTCAAATTGTATATTTATTAATTATTTTAACAATTTATTAAGCATAATTTCATTATGATGAGCATTTTATTTGGTGTAGTACAAATATGTATTTTTAAATATAATTTTTATATAAATAAGTTTTAGATATAAGGTCAACTTACATGTAGGTTATATATGAGTTATTGACTCTATATACAATATAAACATAACTGAATAACAAACATATATCGATAATTTTACAGTTCGTTTGAAAAATGAAAAATTCAGTAAAAAAAACTTAAGTATTTAACTTAATTTTGTTCATTTAAAAGTAATCCTGTTTCGGATATCTGGATTTCGCTTATATGCTATAGATTTATAATCTATAGATGACTAAGTATCTATCTGGGCTATCAAAATGGTCCAATTTATATACTTCAACACAGGAACAAAGTTAATGTTATTATTGACTTTATCTTAAAAGACTGGCATACTATTGACACTTCCTCTTAGAGCATGACTTGCTTAAGCTTAAGTTAAGCTTTCTTTTCTCTTTAGAATGGATAAATGTGATTTATCATTGAAAGAGCGGAAAGTATCTGTTGTGATTTGTTAGATTGTGATATTGGTCTTGTCGATGAGTTAAATGATATTATTGTAACTTTTAATGACAATTAGGACTGTAATTAAATCATTATGTGTGTAAGTTGAAAATAACCACTTCATTAGGAAACTTAAACATAACCAGTGCCTTATTATTTCCAGTTTTTTTTTAATAATAAGGTTTAAAACAATATGTTAAATTGTTAGGTATGGTGTTATTTTAGGTGCTTTAAAAATTTAAGTTTCTCTACTAATAAATGAACAAATTCTTTGCTTGTGAATATTTGTGTTGACTGGAAGAAAATACGTACTTACAAAATGCCTCACCGAATTAAATGATTGTAATAGCACTTTTTTACAATAAATGTAAAATATTTGAAAAAACTGTTCTTTTTTATCATTTGTAGGTCCTGAAATAGTTACATACTATCTTTTACCATAACATATTTGAATAGTTAAGAAATTTGGCTTATACATCTTTGTTTTCTTTTGCTTTTAAATTATGTAGTTTTTTTTTACGTTTCATTATTCTGTCGTATTTTAACTTTGGAGGAAGCCTGAGGGCTGGAAATATGGTGTATTCTTTAAAAAATAATAAGGCTTATGCAATTTGTCAATATGTATTATAACCTATCGAAAATCGACATTACTTTTCATCACTAATTTACATAAAATAATACAAAACTTTGAGATCCATTCTACAATTAAAAAAATACTGTCCATTTAAATTTTCAAGCAAAATCAATACTTTCTAATTATACTTAAATTAATGAGATCCATTTAAATTGACTTCAGTCTTGATTTCCCATTGCAGTACTGGATTTGGCTGCAAGGTAACTTTGAAAGGAACTCCCGAAACAACAGCCTTGTGTCCTGATTCCACTTTTGGGGGTAGATAGGAAATTACACACTGAAAATTAACAATTTACTTAAACATGTTTTTAAACATATACATAAGGCAATAAGGACAATATAAATCATACTATACCTTTGGCTTACTAGATTCTGTAGACATATATCCTATGCACATTGTTTTTGTAGTATGTCCCCATAACAATTCACCTTCCCCTACTTGTGGGTTAAATGTTAAAGCTAAAGATCCGCCAAATCTTTCCGGAACATCCCATAAAAATGGTGACTCCAAAAAATTTTCCTTCAAACATTTGTCTAGGCCTATAACTGGAGATGGTCCTAGAAGACTTTCTGCCGTGTTCTTTGCTAATTGTGTCCTTATCAGATGTTCTCCACAACCAGAAGTGCAAGCAGCCACAGAGGGCTGCATGCCATCTCGACTCATCATAGCCCATACACCACTACCAAAAGAAGCAGCTTGGCCAACTCTTCCTTCATGTTTCAACGACACACCTCCTGAGCTTGCCCCAGCGGCAACTATTCCATTAGAATCTACACAAATTGCTCCTACAGTATCTAGAGGGCTAAACTTTATGTCATTTTGTAAAGAATATTTTTTTAATTTCCGTTTACAGTGTTTATAGTTACGGAAAGCTCGTGCTGATATCATTTTTTTATTGTCTACAATTTCCAATCCCATCCTTTCTGCCCAGGTCTTGGCTCCTTGTCCCGTGAGAATACATGGTGGTACTCTTCCTAAAGACAAGCTTTCACATTGTCTTAGACATAAATGTTTTGCCAAAGTAATGGGGTTCCAAACATTTGAGACTGCACCACAAGCACCAAAGTGCAGTGTCTGGCCGTTCATTATGGAGGCATCACATTCTACGGAGCCTTCCCAACTTAAGTTTGATCCATAGCCAGCATTAGTCAACGAGCTATTTTCTAATTCTGAAAAATAAACAATAGTATTGGAGTTAAGGATTTGAGAATGTGTAGTCTTGCACATTAAACAAAGCCTTGTGATTAATTTAAATTTTTTCAAACTATAATTTAGAGTTTTATGTGAAACACACCAATTATTGCTTTTTCAACAGCATCAACTGCATTCCCGCCAGCTTGCAGTGCTTCTACAGCTTTTCTAGAAGCGGCATAGCAAGTCTTCTGATATTCCTTCTTCAATAAATCACTATGATATCCTGCACCTGAGAAATTAATGTATGTATATTAATGGCAGAGGAAAAGTGGGAAAAACAGAAAACACCAGCTACAAAGTACGTCTAAAGTTTGTTTTTAAGTCTATATTGTAATCGAATAGCCTACAATACACAATCACAAAGACTAAATGAATATAGGCATAACCACTCGATATTAATACTTACCACAATGTACTGCTATGAAACCATTCATGGCTTCATTAGAAAAGGCTCAGCTAAACTATGATTATAGTGTATTTATTAAAGTACTATTAAATATCCCCAAATTTATAGAAAATATTACTTTATAGCAAAGAAGCAACTCATTTCAACTTTAGTGGAATCGACTACACTGACAGATGACATTGATAGTTGAGATTTTTTTTTATTTTATGACCTGGTAACATAGACCTTTAAGTCATATCTTATTTGGAAAATATTCATCACTTTGGATTCTGCTTGTGATTTATGAGTAAGTAACCAATGAAAGTTTAGACTTTTTATTTACAAAATTACACTTATAAGGGGTTACTAGTAGTAGTAACCATTTATTCACTCTGAATATACAAACCATAGGGGTAATACATGTCCAAGTATTTCCCCTGTGAAAAATTATACTATATACTAAAATAAGTATATCTGAATGGGTGAGTGCAGATAGCCTTATAATGATATTTTATCTAGGCTAGTCGGGAGAGTGTCCTTAAATAAATAAAAGAAGAAACAACATTTTATGAACAAAGACATAATAGTATTACTTACACTAACAAATTAATTCTATTTTGAATACTTTTCAATTTTGAGTCAATATGTAGATTTGAAAAAAAAAAACCTTTACAGAAATTTTATTATTAATGTAACTCCTATTAAGTAGAAATTAAAAAAAAAGTTAGATTTTTTTGGAAAATTACTAAAAATTTACACAAAAATTTACATAAGACAAATGCCTTTTTATAATCAGAGATGAGATAAATAGAGGAATGATTTTAATATGTTTATTTTTATTTATTCATTTATAACTAAACTTTACACATGAATTTATCAAAAAATTAATTATAAAGCCGCTATTACAACTATTCCTTTCGAAAGTTAGTTTGTAAAATACATTAGTGAATATTTTTTATTGTTTACTAGTAAAAATTTCAAATTATTGACATAACAAAGTATACTATTTGAGAGATTTTCCTGCAGTGAGCATAACACCAACAACAAGAGCCGTTATTGTAAATCCTTGTGCAACAATTCGCATTCGCATCATTCGCTGTGATAATTTTGTTCTTCCTGTTCTAAAACACCACAGGCCATAGGACAATGCACCGGCGGTGGCAAGGCAACCTAAAATATTACATAATATTATTTTTTTTACACATATTAGTAAAATTTCCTTAGTCAATGTATCAAGTATATAACTTATAGTGTATTCGCCAAGTATGATTGGTACAAAAGTGCATAAAAATAAAGTTTACCTATGGGAACAAATGGGTTTTCTCCAAACTTTCGAACAAATTTCTCTTTCAATGTTTCAATTTGGTGAGATTGTCCCATATCTCGACGTAGTTGAATCCAGTCTAAATCTGTCGGTTCCTCATTATCCTTCGACATTTTTGGTTAAGAATATTGTTTTAATATAATAAAAAGAACAAAGTAATTTACATTTATAGTGAAGTAAGAAAAAATAATAAATATTTAAAGAAAAGAACAATAATCTGTAAATCTCATGCGAATGCGAGCGAACGTCAGTGTCATGTGTAACCAGCTGATTGACAGTTTTTCATCACATTTTGTTATTTCAAATATATCTATGATTTTATAAACACCAAAACCGGTAAATAACTTAGACGTGGCCCCAAGCCCTAATACATAAATGTACCTTTTGCATAGTAACGATTTAAAAATAATCCCAAATTGTTGTTTTTACAAGGACCAACGTTTCTTAAGTAAAACCATTTGGGCTAAAAAGATATGGGTAAATGTGGCAGAGATATTTAGTTTTTTTTAATGTAACCGCTGGGCCCTTAGAAATTGTCCTATAAAAATATAAAAACAACCAGAAAACGAGAACAGAACATAGGAAACAGTTTATAAAATGGAACATAGGCCAAATAAAATAAAAAAATGTTGGTAACACTGAAATTTGTTTGTTTATGAATGTGATTTTTTTTATTTATTTATTCTGTTTCCTGTTTTGCTTGTTGTGGTGGTCTAAAAATTGTTCTACGATGCTTGTCCAATATATATCATCTAAACATATTGCTATTGTAAGTTTTCCTACCGTTTATTCTAAATATTTCAGTTTTATCTTGTCTCAGTTGACCAATTACATGATATGCCATATGCATCAAAACTACAACCCAACAAATATGTTTTACATAACTAATTGTCCTTATGCTCAATGCGTTACGGGGAAATCACGTTTTACTTGTTCGAAATGATCTAATATACGTAAAATTCGTATCAGAAAACAATAATGTGTCAATAAATGTATGCAACCTTTCATGTCCATAACTTAAAACGACTGCCATTGAAAGTAAATGATCGCTATAAATATTTTAATGTGTCATTGATATAGTTAAGTTTATTTCCACTAATAGGAATTGTATAAAGAACAAAAATATTTCACTGTCAAGACCTAATGGTAAAAGTCCTAGTAATTTTATTAGCGCTCGGATTCATGATATTTATATCAACATATACCTTATTGTTTCAGTTGTAAGGTTCTTAATTCTCTGGCACGGATTTTCATTCGCCCCTTTTTTCATATTTACTAACAATGATTGTTCATCACTACTGTACTGTTATGTATTTGTGTATATTTGCAAAGTAAATGTATACATGCATTGTATCCTATATGAATAATGTTGTTTTGTTATATAATGTTACATGTTGTTTTTCAGATGGCTGGTTCATCAGTTTGCAAGAAATCAATTGAGTCTCAAACAGTGTCTTGAGCTGTAATTTTACTTATAATCTTTTAATTTAAATTTTAATTTAATAAGTGTAAACAATAGAATATCAGTAATTTTTCTTAATGTTGGTACACCATTCGTTCTTATCTTTTTTGCTCATGATAAAATATATATTACAATCAGTTTAACATTCAGTCTCATTGTAATTTGTGGCTTAAAATCTTAAATTATCATTTTATTACTTGAAATAGCGTTATATATTAGTTATTTTTTACTTTTATTATCACTTTGTATTTTAAATTTTCCCAATATCATAATGGCTTCAAGTGACCCAGAACTAAGTGATGGGATTACCCTACCAGTTTGGATGAAGACTAAACCAGTCAAGTAAGTATACATTTGGTAGTTCATTTAATTTGTATAGAAATATTGCATGCATTAATTACACAATGTTACATATCACATTGGTAAACTTCTTGTTAAAGTAACAATATTAAATTTACAGTTTTAGACTTGCATATAATAAATTAAATGTTGTATCCAATTAAGGCAAATTTAAAAGAAAGAAAGAATTGAAACAAGAATATTGCAAAATTAGGCTTTTCATTTTATTGAACATTTGAATCCATGCCAGTTTGTTGGTGATTCTACTAAATATCATGTTATAAGTCATTGAAAAACTTTGTAGTTTATAAAAATAGTTGAGATATAACTGCATTAATTACACCATACCAAGTTCTAATTGATATAATGCTATGAAGGTTGACTTCTTAACTAGAAGGTTGTGTAGATAGTGTCTTTAGCAACTCACGAATAGCTAAATAATTTGAAAGTATAGTTCAGCCTTGTAGCATGCCCTTAGTGGTGTTGTGTTTATTAAATTACTTGGCGTTGCTTGTGCGCTATTGTTGTGAAAGTGCCAAAAGTTTATCATATTTTACATTGTTTTATGCGACACATGTTATCTAAAGTTTTCATAGAATAATGCAATAGAAAATAGCTTGTAAATTGTCTTTAAATAAGTTTAAATTATAATAATAGCAGTACCCGGCAACTTTGTGCGGAAATATAAAAATCTAGTAATATATATAGCCCATGTCACCTGAGGATAGTGTAGCTTCTCAACAGTGAAAGAATTTTTTTTCAGTACTGTTGGAGCCTATTCAATGCGAACAATGAAATCTTTCCTCATTAGAATTAGAATAGAATAGTATATTCATATAATTTTATAAATTGCTTCTGTTCTGTTTCTTGTTTATGGCTCTCCCTCATCGGATTGGGCCAATGTCAAGTGTTTACTAAATTGCTTTAAATGCTCTCTAACATCACACTGTATTTTGTGGAATGCACTTTGACATATTACTATGCATTATCCTTGAAACCAGGACGAAAAAAGTTTGTGTGCGAGGAACGGTTTAAAAACCTGCTATTTATTTTATAACGGTGACATTGCGAAGAGGACTTTATTATTAGCATTTTATCTCTTAATAAATAAAAGATATATTGTGATATCTCATCGTAGATTGCATCGATATTGAAAATTATATTATTGACGTCATCAGCGATCAATCTGTTCAGATACGTCACGTCACCGACAATTGCTCAATCACGTTATTAGACCGTGACTCCCCACTGCACGAGGTAAATAGAAACTATACATGCTTATAATATAATACAATATAAATAAGCAACAAATGTAAGATTTGCTTAGTAGGAGAGGTGTTATTATTTCTGCCGTGTGATGTTATTGATTTGCCTTTAGCATGTTGTCATGGGTTTGTCTATTTACGTATCGTTTGTCATTGATACATACAATGTTAATCTTACTTCTTACTAATATTATAAATGCGAATGTTTAGATGTATGTCTGTTTGAAGGTATCTCCGGAACGGCATGGATCTCGCTGAAATTTGGCATAGATGTAGAAGATATTTTGGAAGAACACATAGGCTACTAATTCAGTTTTTTTTAATCCCCCGCGGACGCAGTCGCGTGCAATAGCTAGTAAACTATAAGATTACAAAACATCAACGAATGACGAAACTGATATTAATCCGTTATGCTTTAATATATCTGATAATGAGATTAATAGTATCCACGAACCTTGATCGCGTGGGAGTTAAATTTGATTTCTCATAATAATGGAAACTTGCAGAAAGCGAGAACCTGCACAGGTTGAATAGATTGTATGTTATTTTTACAGTTAGAGTATTGTTAGGTATATGATAACGTATCTTTCCCTTACTTTCATATTAACCGTCGCCCGTGACTCCGTCCGGAAATTAAAAAAAAAACTTAATAACCTATGTGTTCTTCCAGACTATGTTCTACATTTGTGCTAATTTTTTTTCAATATCCGTTTAGCCGATCCCGAGATACCTTCCAACAAACATCCATCAACCTAAACTTTCGCACCCAAACTTTTTATAATATTAGTAAGATATGCTCGCTCGCATTTGCTTTAAATTTGTGTAAAGATGTAAGGCTTTTTCCGTTCAGCTAGATATAGTTGGCTACTTATACAACTATTTTAAGATGTACCATTTGAAATGCAACGCGCGCAAACGCAATACTGTACAAGATTTTATGTAACTGTACTCCGAGGTCAGCAAAGGTGGTATGCAGTTAGCATATATTTAATCAACATTTATACCAGCTGTTGCACGCGACTCCGTCCACGCGGAATTAAATAACATACTACGTAGCCTATGTGTTCTTCTAAACAATGTTCTACATTTATGCCAAATGTAAGCAGGATCCGTTCAGCCGTTCTGAAGATACCTTCAAACAAACATCCATGCGTCTGAACATTCACATCTATAATATTAGTAAGATGTGTTTGCTGACAGCCTTGTGCATGTATCTATTTGTAGTATATGTTTCGGTTACATTCGAATGAGCTATTAGACAAAGGGTCGCCGTACACGGACTTCAAGCAGTCTATACCGGTTTTAACTACTCAAAATGCGTCTTACTATTATGAAAACTATTTTTGTTATTGATATATAACATAACTTTACGATTATTTATTATCTTATCAAATAAGATTACGGTTTTGATTTTGTCATGGAACTTTCTGCGCTTCAATAAAATGGAATGAGATTTACATTAGAAGTATTTGAAGAAAATACGCAACAAGTTGTGTGGCTGTTTATTATTTTTGTATTTTTAAAATGAATTCATGTACGGAAACTTGTACTTGTGATAATATTCAATCACAGGAAGATTGGTAAGATATTAAGATTCTTTTGATTATATTTTTGATTTTGAATAGTAGAGTAATAGTGGTACTTATTGATTTTATGGTGCAAAGTAAACAAGGATTATATATTTACTTATAGTATATCAAACGTCAATATCGCAGAAGTATGGCAAATTAGAAATCCGACATCGTATCGTGCTTTATGTTCATTTGTTTTTTTTTATATTCAGTACCTGTAGCAGGACCAAATAAATTTTTTATTTAGATTTAGCTTCAAAAACTAAGCAATTCGGCATAGTCACTTTCAGCTAAAATCATAGCGCTGCGAGGACCCAACGCACATGTAGAATATAGAATGTTTCTGGGGGTCTAACATGAAAATTTTGTGATTGACAGTATAATATTATAGACAGTTTTGGATGAGATTTGTCAGTGTACTTTGAGCTCGATAAGGGCATTGCACATATCCACATTTTGTCGATGACGTTACGAATACTTTTTCGAAATTTTCGTGCGAGGCCCATTGTAATCGATTATGAAAGTAACAAAGTATCGTCATACGATTTCTTTTTTTCATGCGTCTGATAGCAACTACTATCTAGAAATGTAGGAATTACACTAAGCTGGTTTAAAAAAAACAACGATATCAGGCATTGTTATTTTTATTTAAACTTGATAGCACCTGTATAGATAAAATTGAATGATTACCAAGATGATTTCACTCGTTATAAAATAAAAAGAAATCAAAATACAAAAATGTTGGAGCGGTGATGAAGGAAGGGAGGCTTTGTTATAGAAAAAATACACTAGTGCTTTGATATTCATGAAGTACCGAATACAGCCTATGACTAGCCCTTACGGTGTTTTACAGGGTTCATGTTTGGACATTGTATAGGTGCATATACTCACGAATTTATACTATCTTACGAATATTATAAATGAAAATGTTTAGATGGATGAATGTTTCTTAGAAAGGTATCTCTAAAATGGCGGCATGGAATTCGCTGAAATTTGTCATAGATGTTGAAGATAAACGAAGTCGCGGGTGACAGCTAGTTGGCCATAAAAATAGCAAGTAAACATAGTTGTTTGTGTACAAAAGGTATTAGAGATTATAAGATTAGACAGTTGAATGAATTTATTAAGAAGATTGTGTGAATTTAAAATGTTATGTTTCGTCATCAATTTGTTTTATCGATGTTATTCGCACCGTGTGACATGCGATAATTGAAATGTAAATATTATTTGTTACGTAGTGATTACAAGCTGCTTATCCTCTCCCCACCCACGTCATGTTATCGCTCTTTGTTAGCCGACTACATTATTTTTGTATGGAGATGATAAATACTGTTACTATGTGTTTCATGACTTGTCTAACCGTGAGTTTCTGTGTCCAAAATCTATGTTTAAAACATATTGTTATCTCTATTCTCAAAGATAAAGACTCGAAAACACAAGGTAAGTTGTCTATAGAAAAGTTAAACAAGATTCTAAATGGTCATTTATATTACAAGACTCAAACTTTATGGCAGCTCGCATCTCCAAGTCCTACAGATACTTAATATTACGTTCTGTGTGGCGTCTCTCGTGGAATTCCAAGTCACCACAAAGTCAGGAGTTATTATACTTATAAAACAACTCCATGAGACTGTATGTAACCCCTAATTTCAAAGACGTGAGAGAAATTCTAGTGCATGTATACAATGTAATGAATTGTTCTATTGTTTTAACATTCCAATTTCGTTTACGTAGCATTCGTTACAGAAGGCTACATTGTTCGCATAATACCAAGACTTATTTAAGTTCATACTTTATTCAGATAATCATCACACTTATTATATTCTATAAACTGCCATCTTTTACCCTTCTCTAAATATCTGTTGTACCTATTTGGTTTAAAGGTAGGTTTTAAATGCCTGGGAAAGCTTACTTCTGCCTAATATTATAAACGTGAATGTTAGGATGGATAAATGTTTGTTAGAAGGCTGCATGGCTTTTCCTGAAATTTGCCATAGTTATAGTTTCAAAGAACACAGGCTACTTGTAGCATTCGTTGTGCTATATTTGGCTCGTTCACGTACCGACACGTGTTGCCGGCTCAAAGGTCTGACATCGACTGACGTCCCCTCTCTCCGGCATGTACTTATGGCGTGTACGCTCGAGACAAACAACACTACGTTTATGCATACACTACACTACTAATTAAGTTTTTATTCAATTCCGCGCCGACGGAGTCGCTGGCGACAGTTAGTGAATAAAGGTAGTTGCACTAGTCCTCCTCATGTCTCTCACATTATCGACGGTACAAAAATATCTAATGTAGTGCTGCGACTTCATCGTGACCAGCATTATTTGCATTTTAAATGTAGTTTACATAACAATGAGTAAAGAAAAACAAATATAAAATAATCTAGATGTGTCAGTCTTTGTTTATGAAACAATAGTTACTATTACTAAGATTAAAAGAAAAATATTGTACTAAAGAGTTTTTGGAGTACGTCACAGGGGAATTATATGGCCTTTCAATAATACCCTTTCGATGGACAACCCTTCAACAACCGTTACTTCTCTGACTAAATAATGAAACAATTGTTTAAATGATCCAATGCACTGTCACATAATATTTGTCTTTGCTATAGTTGTGAACCATTTGCGAGGAGCTTGCCAAAACGTGTATAAATTTAGATCACGTTCTCCGCACAAGAGGCACTACAAATCATAGCGAATATTCAATGAAAGTTTTATAAAGAACTCTCGCTTTGAGAGCATAAAAGTGCGAACCAGTTTTGCATAGCTCCTCGTTGTCTTTGACCTTTGCTGACGCGTCTTGTTTCGGTCATGCGCTACCAGCCGGGGGCTGGGCTCGTGCCACGATCTCATTGGTGAACGTCCGATGACGTCATCACGTGTTATTTTCAAACACAATTCGCAGCTCACTTGTAATGTTATCCTGATAAGATTTAACACCAATATAACTTTATCTGTATCGTATAAAAGGCAACCGCGCCTACTATACGTTTTCAGTTCGCGAAAACATTTTGTAGACAACGCCATTTTCTTGCCACTTGTACTTGCTATTTAGTCGGTTTAGTTTTTGTTACTTCAAAGTCATACAATGTTAAAGCGAAGGAACATTCTACTTCAATGCAATAATTTATTCTCGTAAGTTTTTGTATAGTAACTAAATTTATTACTTTATCTTTAATCCATTCTTAATCCATTTATAGTTATGTGTGTGATAATGCGATTCATTCTCAAATTAAATGTATAGGGGTACTTATGATTGTAGGTTTTGTTTCTCTTTATTGTCAAAAGCAAACAGTGATTTTATTTTTCTCAATCTACTAAATTTTGTTCTCAGGGAATTCGAACCGTTTGCAGCTTCACCTCCGGCACCTGAAGATTCTTTCTTCTACATACGATACCCTAAAACAGATGTGTTGTTCGGCAAACCGAAAGTTGGAGACATACCGAAGTTGATCAATGAACAACAGAAAGATCTAGCGGTGAAGGCAGCGTACAGTACTATCAAAGAACAGGACTGGTCCAAACACACTAAGCCTTGTCAAGACGTTCTACACGGGATTGCGCCAATTCATAAACCAGGTAAGATTACTTGATTACTACATTGTGCGAACAATGAAAGTAATACAGCGAAGACCATGCGAATGTTTTAATCTTACCTGTATTGATTTGGTGTGATCTAAAGAAGGTTTGTGAGAATTGTGCGGGATGGAAAATCATTTTTTTTTTACTTTAAATAATTATTATTACTTTAATAATAGAATAACCTTAGTAATCTTCAGGCTGTTGTTTCTCAGGTTGTTTTTGATTGTTGAATTTCCAATTTTTACCACCGTTCTTTACTGATTCTAAAAACTTTAAATTTTAAAATTTTCGAAATCGTCATACTCTTAACGTTTACTTAACAACAAAACATTACTAAGAAAATGATTAAATTATCTTTGCACAGTATAGATAAAAATCTCCGTCAAACATAGCGTTATCAAAGAATTGGTTATCTATGTTTTATTAGTACTTTCTTTAATAACTAAATATGTAAGTTTCGACTATCTTTAAAAGGTTGTTTTCAATGATTTTTCTTACACACACAAAGTAAAACATACAATATAGATAACATAAAACTTCATTCATATCATACTATTAATAATAATATTATATTATAAATGCGAATGTTTGGATGGATGGATGGATGTTTGAAGTTATCTCGAGAATGGCTGTATGGAACCCATTAAAGTTTGGCATAGATGTAGAATATAGTCTGGAAGAACACATAGGCAGCTATTAAAGTTTTTTTTAATATTCCGCGGACGGAGTCGCGGGCGATAGCTAGTTTATAAATAAAATATATTTTGAATTCTGAATTTTTTTTATTAGTTTTTTGAAGAAATTAGTTATTAAATCTTTAATGAATACGTGACTTCATATTTGCTTATTACTTTTTTTCTTATTGTTTATTAATAAGATACTGATAAATAGCATGATGTTTATTCATAGGCACATGTTTATTATGTTGCTATGAAGTAAAATTTTCCATGTAAACACATTATAACTAGATTTGTTTATTACACAAAAGGGCTGGTTTGTGTAAAACGAAACATCAAATAAATCTTTATAAGAATCTATAAAACACAAATGCTTCTTCTAAAAATACGCTTTTTTAATCATTGAATCACTTTAGATCTCCTTTATTTAATTTAATATAGATATTTCTAAAAATTCTCGAAAATTCTTAACCTGGATTCGAACTCATAGCTCGCAACGCGAGTGTTTATCAATTAATTAATTTTGGATGTATAGACGTCGCTTATTTGTAACGAAGTTATTTTTAAATCCTGTTAAGATTAATTCTTCGTATAAAATATTGTTTATTTCATCTATGATAAGACATTCAACACATAAGCCTTGCTTTATTTGACGTTTAAAACTAGCACTTTTAACTCGATCCTAAACGTAATATGTATTTTGTTAGGGTTTTGGTCTGCTTTTACTAGAGTTTTGTGGTTTATTCCAGCTATCTTTAGTTTTAAACTGGATATTATTAAAACGCAACTCGACTGCACATAAGGGAAGATGATTTGTGATTACTCATTGTAAAGTGGAGAACGAATGCAACTTTCTTAGTTGTCATGACATTGTTCGGACGTCTTTGTTGCATTGAAAGGTCTTTAAATCAATTGGTGGACTATCGTTTTAAATATTATTTTTCGTATATTGGCAACACTCAAGTGTCGACTGAACTCGTCAACTTATCGGCGTCCTACTTACAAACAGGTTTTGCGTCTTTTTATATCAAACGTCATTTTACGTCCCGTTCTAGTGTTGCAGTCATTTGTAACGCAGGTTCATTGATAAAAGGGAGACCTTGTCGATTCTCTGTGCCTTTTAATAGTTCAGTGTGAACGTTGTGAACAGATTTGTATTTGTTGTTCTTTAAGTGAAGAATTAAAAAAAATACTCGTCAGATTCACATTTTGAAGCTGTGCCGTGTCCAAGGATTGTTTTGTTTTTGTAAGTTGATTTTTTTTATTTTATTCGTAAAATCACGAATGCATGATGGTTAATTGTTTATGATCTTTTAACTATTTGAACATAAACAATAATCTTTATACTATTAACTTCCACTTTTTTTTACTTTGATACAAATATCTTAACCTATAAATTTTTAGTTTGTACTAGATCATATCGCGACTTAAATAACTAGCCGCACGTTCAAGCGCAATACCGCCAGTGGAAAGAACAAAGGCACTAAAACACTTCTTTTCTTGTCTTCCCCAAGTTTTTTTTAACATAATTTCGTTTTTTTCATCGCATAGCGATTCAGAATATCTGTTCGTATTGACTTTTTTTTATTAAAAATGTTTGGTTTTGTCGAGGATTTTTTGTTCCTAGTACATGGTAATTCATAAATAAAAAAGTAATAATTTTTAATGCCAATTCACGATTTTTATATCAATTTAACAAATTTTGCTCAACGTTATATACTCGTAAGGCGGTTTCTAACACATTCCACTATTTTGTGGCTATATCAAGGTCTTCAATACGTTGCCTTTCATTTCCCCGTCTTTGTTCGATTCTAGATTAAAGTTTTTTTTCAAAGATTATCATTATATTAGAAAAAAAGTACATTTATACTGTTTGTAGAAATGCATATATTATTTTATTTAAGATTTTTATAAATAAAATGCAATAGTTACTACCGCCTATAGGTATAATTCAAGAGCACTTCTGTTTTGTAATATCTATGCACATCTATCGGTAGATGTTCGCGTATTGACGAGACCTAGCGGTTCGAGAGCTTGTGAAAATTGTGTTTATTAGAGCGCATCTTCCGTTACAGCTTAAAATACTGATTGCGATGGCATTTTATTATGAATAACCTTTTTGGTAGTTTTGTTGTAAAAATATTAATAGCTTATTTTGAACTGATTACTCGTGAGTAATCAGTACAAAATCTGCCCGTCCAAGTGTCGTCAAAATCAGTTCAGCCGTACCGGAGATTACCCGGAACAAACGCCGTCTTACGGACATACAGACAAAAATTTTAAAAATTGATTTTTCATTACCAATTTCGCAAATACATCATGTATACGAAATATATATTTTTTATATTATATGCACTAATTTTATTAATATGTATAAAAGATTTAATATGTTATTTTGTTTGTTTGCAGTGGACTTGAAGCCGGCGTCGGTAGGCACAGAGGATGGGTTTAAAGGAGAGGGTGCGGCGTGCGGCAACTCCGTCGTCAAGGTCAGTACACACCCGACTCGGACTCGGAAACTCAAACCTATAGAGCTGACGTCACGTCACGATCAGTTGCACTTACTACCTATTTTTTCTAGTGTCTTAAGACCCTTCCGTCTTTATTTCATACCGCCTTTCTTTGACTTCCTAAAATATTTTTAAAGGATCTGATTTAAGAGTTATTTGCACTGTAAAGAAGCAATCGGGCATCATATGAATTGATATTTGAAAATTTTGGGCAGAAGACACTGACTCATGTTATCGTACTTTTGAAGTTTCGCCTCTTACCTAATTATGTGACGTCATTCACGTGACTTCGAAACTTCCGAGTCTATAGACTGTCAAACTTTCGCTCATAACTTTCTTATTTCCTTTTATTATTTGATAAGTTCAATGCTAGATGCTAGGAGTGAATCTATTCGAGTAGTTTCTTAGAGAGTAATTAATAAAGGATGAATTAATCATGATTAATTAAATGGTTATAAGTCATCACCTTCTTAAGTCTTTAAGCGCAATTAATGAATACTATAATTCATATAGGAATATCTGACATGATAACTTGGAAAGGTCAAACGTATCTTGCTACTAGTTAATTTGTTTACTATATTTCATCATGCAGTTGTACGAGATACCTATATTTTAAAATATTAATTTGTGCAAAATTATGACGTCACGTCGTTAAATTAAATTCTTTTTGGAATCAACTTTGAAATTTCTATCTCAGATAGTTTCATCACAAAAATAAAAATACACTAGATATTAAATTTAATATTATCAAGATACATTTGAAAATCGTAGTCATTTTTTTTTTAGTTTGTAAAATTGAAATCGTCTACTTAAATCCACGACATATTTTAATAATTAATGTTTAAAGTGGACAAAGTTCACACGGCGCTCTGAATACTACGGTTAATGATAGACGACCTAGATCGAACAAATGGCCGGTACCTATATTAGATTAACTGTACTAGATTTAAATTGTACTCCATTCTAAAACTGTTAATTTAATTTGTAAAGACCATCTTTGACGTTGAATTTCAAATATCCTAAGACAATGACTTATTTTTCAGTTATCATTCGCACGGGCGCTTTTTTATCGCACGTTAAAAAAACGTTCAAATGGAACAAAATGTATTTTGAAGTATCTGTTTATACGCAAACGCTTTTAAAATGCAATGCTTTTTATCGTGCAATGTTGCATTTTGAAACCTTGGCGATCGGAATAAGAGCGATTTTACGCCCCTACGAATGGCTTAAGTTTCAAGTATACAATTCGACCGTCTCGTCTCTTGTTTTAATTATTATTTTTATTGCTTCTAGAAAACTTCATAACATATTATAATCCTAGGAATCTTTATGCTAATTGTTACGCTTTTGTTCGTTTCAAAGAAGTCTTAATATGACGGCTGTTAAGAATTCATTAAACCATAAATTATGTCACGCAATAGTTTTAATTGTTTACATAATGTCACTGTTGATGTCAACTGCTTTACCATTTGAGTTGAGACATATTGTTGTTTCTGTTTATTTCAAAGAGAATGAAACGGAAGATAATTATGTATTAATACAAGTATTATGTCAGTGGAGTCCTAGGGTTAGTGTTTTAAACTATATCATTGATGTTAAAAAGAAATTATAAATGCGAATATTTAGATGGATGGATGGATTTTTGTTTGAAGGCATCTCCGGAACGGCTGCATGAATCTCGCTGAAATTTGTCATAGATATAGAACATAGTTTAGAAGAATACATAGGCTACTTATTAAGTTTGATTTTAATTCTGCGCGGACGCAGTCGCAGGCGACATCTAGTACAGTATAAAGACAATGTATCAGTCACTGTCCCTCATCAATTCTCGTAGAAAATGTGGTGTTCGTGTTTTGGAACTAAGCCAGTTTGGTATAAAGATTGACTGGTGTATTGCAGGTGGCGCATCAGATGATCCAGTCGAATCGTTCTCCACGCGGTTTTACGGTCGCGTCGCCCACGGAGGAGGAAGCGGTGGCGCCCACTGCCCGCCAGTACAACCTGCAGACACGCCGCGGCAGCAAGAGCCTGCCCGCCACGCCCGCGCACTCGCCCCCCTCCAGCCCGACTGGCCGCAGGAGGATGATCGGAAATAGGTAACAATAAAGAAATAAATAAACATGAATACGACCCTGTACTTCAGTAGTGGACAATTGAAATTATTCTCCAATTAATTAAAAACAAACATTTTGAATACCACCCTGTATGTTGCTGATATTCGGTGCAATGTTATGACTAAAAGCTGCAGTAAAAATTAAAGCTTTATCTACATTAAAGTAATAAACAGTTCAACTGTTGTTTATTAATAATTACGATATTTCGCATGATTAGTTGTAAGAACCCAAACCTTTTCAGTAAAAATTTCTCCATACTAACGGCATATGTTGCAGACTGATACATTTTAGTTGAGTTCTGACGGGCAGATAACAATTTTCATAATAGATGTGTAATAAAATAGTACTTACGTATTGATGCATATCTAATGATTCTATGACGTTGGTTTATCTAGTTGCATAAGTTGTGTAATTGTTGTCATGACAACATGAATACAATACATATTCTGCATTATAATGTAAATTGTAGTAGATGAAAGCTATCGTTCTCAATAACTGAATATTCTGAGCATACAAAGTTGGCAGCATTGACGTCATTTGATTGAAATATCATGTTTTAAAGTACGTGTGTAATTGTTAACTCTAGAGTTTAGCTTACTAATATTATAAATGCGAATGTGTAGATGGATAGATGTTTGTTAGAATGTATTCGGAATGGCTCAACAGATCTTGATGAAATTTGGCAATGATGTAGAACATAGTCTGGAAGAATACATAGGTTACTTATCGAGGTTTTTTTTTAATTCCACGCGGACGGAATCGCGGGTAAAGGCTAGTATAATAATTATGTTTATTATTCTTTGATATGTGATATGCTATTTTAAGATATGAAGTTACATAAAGTAATTTTTAATTATTTGTCTATATCTAATGACTTTATTGAATTGGGTTATTAAGAGTTTATTATATATTACATATCGATTTAATAGTTTTGTTCATTTAACTCAAAATTCATTGGGTCAATAAAGCAAAAGTAGATAAAGTTATGATCAATTAGTGGGCATATTATTTGCTGTTTAAATGACTTTGTGGTTTAGTTAATAAAGATTTATTGCATATAAATACAATTAATATAGCATTAGAAAATATTATCATTCCATTTACGGTTGGCAACTTCATTTGTACAGGTTCTTTTGGTTTTCTATTAAAAAAAAAGCCTTGATGCTAGCGGCTAGTATTAGATTTCTTTCGATCCAATCAATGCAAAGTACTAGATAATAGGACTTTGTAATCTAGCTAAACGCTATTATGTCGGAAGATGAATAAACTATGGCGCCATCAATTTGAGTTATTCAGTTAGTTAGGAAATATAGTTCAAAAATTGATACTGTCATCAAAGATAGAAGCCAACCAGCCTATCGTAAATATCTGAACAAAGTAATCGAATTTGTACTTTATTGAATATTAAACGGACTTGGATTTTAGCCGCCTTTAACTTATAGGCCTCATGTCTTTTTGTCGGATGGGTCGATTTATCTGGTGTTATTATGGTGACAGATATTTCACTTCACCGTTCGAGCCGGTGGAGGATTCCAGTAATCGCTCCTGGCTCACGATGGCGCTGCTCGGCTTCAAGAAAGACCTCACCACATCCACCTCCACCCTCGCAGAGGAGGACACCATCGAGCACAGACTGCAAGGTATGTAGCAATAGTATATTTTAAAACCCAATTAAAACAATATGCTGCATCTTTATTATACATTAGGAAAGTCTACAAAATCTAATGTTATAAATGCAAAAGTTTGGAATCGATGGATGGATGGATGTTCGTTAGATCGTATCTCCAGAATGCAATGGATCTTGATGAAATTTGACACAGATGTAAAATATAGTTTGGGAGAACACATAGGTTACTTAAAGTATTTTTTTAACACAATTTTGACATTTTATAAATTCGTAAATATCATTCCAGGTGGAACATTAGCAGAATCCGTGGAGAACTTAGGCCCATCTCCTAGAGGTAAAGAACCCAAACTGATGTCCAACGAAACAAGCACACAGCAGCCCAAGTTGACGAAACCAGCGCACGCCTTCCGACCTAAACCCTCGGAGCTCAGGGAAATGAACTTCTGGTCACCGACCTCCATGTAAAATTATTTCCGTAACATTAATACAGAAATAATAATAATAATAATGTACTTCACTATTGTTAACTTTTTATCAGTATTTTTGTGAATTCAGATTACCTTAACTGTCTATGTTTTGTCAAAGAAAACGTAAGGGATGACAATATCTATGACCAAGTGTCAGTGCTCTGGAGATCTTGGGTTAAACTGATTCATAATTAAATAGGTATATACTTAAATTACTTTTAATTACATGTTTATTTAGTATGAGATTTTATGTAAGCTATGAAATGAGGTTCATTTTAAAGTAATCTTACATATAAAATTACTATAAAATATTTTTGACTTGTGATAAGCAATATCTTTGCAATAAAGAATCCTCAAAATCTGTTCTTCGGAGATAATAAATAAAAAAAAAGAAAATGCGTCAAAGCCAGACTTAAAAGTTATCTGAACTGATAGATTTTGACCGTTGCAATGTCACTCAAATAATATGTTTACATAAAATTTTGTATCTCTTCAATTAAATTTCACTATACTGCAATAAATATAAATTTTTTCTTCGTCTTATATATTTAAAAGCTTTTTAATAAAACAAATAGCAATATTTTAAATACATTTTTGTGTATACGACCGGAAAGTCGGACCCTTCTTATTCCAGTATAATATAAGTTTGTGTGTCTGTGTGTTTGTTGCTCATTATATATAAAACTATAAGCATAACTCATTACAAATGTTAGATTGTCTTTCACATGTGTGTAATATACATCTAAATAATATATATGATCGGTTGGACAGTCACTAACTGTCGCGAATTATTTGCCTTTATTCAATTGTAGTTTGCTAGGACGATGGTAATTTTTACCATATTTTTTTCAACTTACATGCCTGCATTGATATTATATTAAAATTAAAAAAAAAACAGCATTTGCCAGTTATGAAAATAAACCTCCGCCTCTTTTGTTTATTTTTATGTATTTTTTTTAAATACATTTAGAAATCATTTTTTTCTAAATAAAATAATAGTGTCTTAAACCTATATTTTGTTTGAATGTTTGTTTCAAATAAGTACCGTAAAATGGAACGTATTTTTGAGCTGTCAAAAGATTAAATTATAAAACTGAATGGTTATGTAAATTGTATTTTTCATATTAAATGTAAATGTTTGGTTAAAATCAAAATGAATCTTGAATTATATTTTTGTATTAGATTTACTGAATCATATTACGTATAAAAGTTTAGAATGAATTGTTATTTGTGTATTTGACAATGTGGCTATTTTTAATCTGTTGCTTGTGTCATATCTTTTGAATGGTGTTTAATTTCTTTCTAACTTGGTAACATTTTTATGAATAATAGCAACACTGTTTATTTAGATGTAACATGGAACGGATAGAATTAGTTACTTTAGTATATTACATTATATTAATATTTTTCTACTATACTATTGGAATTATAAATTCTTATCATGAGCAGAAAATGTCAACTGGTACATTTTAAATGGTTTTATTTCATCAATATTTTAAAAATAGAAAATAATAATAATATAACAATAAATAATCTACTTTGATTTCAACTAATTTATATTATTCTTTTATTTACACCTTTTATTAATTCATAAATAAAAATTATACAAATGAGAAAAAAGCCGCTCAACAGAATAACCTTGGAATACCGAGACTACAAAAATCGAAGTAGAAGAAAGGTAATATGTGATAGTTGCGACCATTTCGCTGCCGAACCAATTGTATTAGAACTCTTGTACTTAACTGCTTTTTTTGGAGAAAATCAAAAGGATCACGGAAAATTAGCTTCACAATTTCTAATGAAATTTGCTTAGAATTGTACTAAAATATTTAATTAACAAATTAAATATTTTATATTAACATTCTGTTATTCATTGGTAGGGTCATCACCCCTTACTTAGGGCTGGCTCCGAGCCCCTCGGTGGAAACGTATAGTGAGCTGATGATGGATTTATTGGTAGGCGAAGCTAATGTTTTACGTAAAATATCCCGTTTACATTAATACCGATCTTTATGCTATGCACATTTTGAACAACTGCATCGCAATCTAACAATGACTGAAATGTCGTTATCCTTTTTAGTAAAAATTCGTCTTTACGTAGGTCCTCGTTAATTGGTACGGGATGCTCAACGGTAGCGTTGGGATCGATCCTGTTAGATTGAAGACTTACTCTACTAATGAATAATTGCACTCCGGCGAAACCGAACTAATTTTGTAATGGTAGACTAGAGCTTTTGTCGAGAACCAGTCTACCTATATTATGAATGTGATTCAACCATTCGGTATTCTTTTACGAATATTGTTACTATGGAATTATAAAGTTTATATTTTAGCTTATAAATTATTTTTATTTTTTTTATATTCATAAGGTAGCAAACGAGCGAGCGGCCACCTGAAATCGCTGAAGTAGCGAAGTGACCGTTGCCCATAAACATACGCAATTGCATATGCGTTGCCTACCTTTAATCGACGGAGGAGAAAAATTAATTATAAATTATTTGATTGCAGGGTAGTTAAAGAAGAAGCAAATGTCAGGAAGAAAGGTCGCGACTGTCAGTAATGAGAAAAGAACATGGAAAGAGTGAGAAAGAGAGAGTTAATTTGAAGCATCTTTATAATAAAAATAGCCAACAAATAATTGCAATAATCGAAGTCTATTAGTATTGTCTACTGCAACATACGTCAGTTATTATAAAAGTTAAATCTAAATCCTTAATATAGAGAATAGAATCTGCCACAATAAGATAGTGCTCGGTTTCGTTATAGAACACATCAGTCCAACTGTCACTTGACGTGTCTCTGGCTCTGGCTTGAGGCAATTCCAGAAATGAAATATTTTTAGACCCATCACACGAAAACACTCTATTCAGAGCCAGACTGAAACTTATTGTTTATTTAGCTGGACTAGAGGCTGCTTTATTGATACATTTGATTATTGTAGTAGGAGTCAAGTATAGTTTTCCTCATAATGTTAAAGGTAACATGGTAAAGTTTTTAACAATTTGTTCATTAAAACTTGTTTGTTTGTTATTATGATTGTCTTTTCTTATAAAGTCGTAAAGATATTTTGAAGGAAATTAAATTGAAAATATGAATAATTTGATGCAGTAAAATATCTAGATAGAGCTGTTCAAATCCATTGTAAATAAGTCGTTACCTTGAAGACGAAGTGGCTTCATAATAAAGTGATGTTAGCGCTGTTGCATCTTTCATGAGATTGTAAACAGAGCTACGAAACTGGTGAGTAATATCTCCTACATTTGTAACTACATGTAAATTGGATTGTTCATATTAAGTTTAAAATATAAATTGCTTTTTAATAGCTTGCATTTTTCATATCCTAATTCTGCAATCGTATTTGGTAATCTTTACAGTCTTACACTATCTAATTTACAGACTAGTCTTAACATAAAATATTGCCTGCAATTTCCGCATAAATTGATTGATGACGTCAATAATATGATCATCAACCTGCTAAAACAGAACTTTCTTAGAACTTTCAGTCAATTGCGCATTTCATCATAAATACATTTGCTTTATTTGTACATAATTATAAATAAACTTACACGAAGATGTAGACAAGGTTTAGTAAATAGTTTTTCTTTTCTCGTACATAAATAGTTCCGTTTAGATCACAATCCTCTGAAAATGTTACATCCTTCGTACGATTATTATATTTTATTACTCTAATTTAATTTAATTAATCTTTAGTAATATGGCAATACAGAATCGTTGTGGTTTATAAAACAGTCTAAAAGCTGTTGCATATTTCATGACGCTTTGTTAACATAGTTCTTTAGTCGGGCTCAATCCTTTAGTGTTACATTATATTCTTTGAAATAATTCTGAAAAGTTCCATCTCTGTGTATTTTGTGTGGCGTAAAATAATATTAGGACGAAAAAATAAATCTTCCTACTTCGCATTATGTCAAAGCTGGCATACGTGTTCAATGTAATTTTTTTTTTATTATTTTATCTATTTATTTCATGGTAATTGTAAACAGAATATGATCGGATTTAAATCTTAAATCAAAATTAATTGTAGATAATAAAATGTCTACACTCGATTTACATGCACGTTATTGAATTTTAAAGAGGGTTTAATTTTGACAGTTTAATTAAGCTTGTACTGACCGCGCGAGGGTCTAGCTATAATTTTAATTAATATGGGAATTAATATCAGATACTATATGTACTGTTTTCATATATTCATATAAGCTATAGATTACGTTTATGAAATAATGTTGAAATCAGTTTCTTCCTGAATCTTGCGACGCTGTATTTATAAGCATTTTTTAGAAGTGGCATCCAACATTAAATCTTTTGCGTCTTTGCCATTTTCCAAAACGAATTATGTAAATGTACGTTATTTAAGATTAAATGGTTATGTTAAAAATTTATGCATAAAGTGCAAAACTGTGTTGCACTTTAATAGATTTATACTGTTTTAATTGAGGAGGAGACAGGCGATGTCAAAGACTATGAATAGAATAATCAATATGGATCGTTGGTCTCCACTGCTGATACATTCAAGTAGGTAACAAATTGTTTTTTGTAAGAATGTTTCGGCGGTGAAAACCTACGTCATTTAAGTCATAACGTGCAATATATTATGTCAACGTAAAATTAAAACTCTGTAGCATATATATTAAAAATTATTTATAGTTACAACATGATATTAACTGTTCGAAATTGTTTTAAACAGTTTCCCTCTAAAAGTATTATGAGTTGAAATGGATTTAAATTGTGGTATTCGCGGTAAAAGTTTTGGCTTTAAAACTATGCCAATGGGAATAGTACATTAAGCTTTTAACAGGAAGGTTACTTTTGGAATGCAGTTCAGTTCTGATAGAGTTTCTATTTAGCGATCTACCCTTGTAGGGTATATTTAATTAAATTGTCAAATGACTTATCGTATTTAAATGTACAAGCCTTTCGTGGACTTTGGAAATACCGAAATAAATACTAAATAAATCAGTTATTTATTCAGGCATAGATTATAGTGATTTAAATAGAATGAAATTCTGTCTGTTGTCATTTTGTGAGATAAAACGTTAATAATAAAATTTTTATTTATGTAATAATTAATAAATAAATAATAAAAAAAGATGTACACATGAAAGTTATCTTTTCGATTTTACAAATCAATCATAAGTAAGGAGAATATCACAAAAAATAAGATTAAAATAATTTACACCTTAACTTTTTGGCAAACAGGAGGAAGGCGAGTTGGCGTCTTAGTTCCGTATAAATTACTCACTGTGCTTTCTGCGAAATTAAATTTTGATGGCCGCCTTTATACGGGATCTGAAAGTAGATTAACATAAAAACGACATTTTATGAAAACATATTTCGACTCCAGGAAATGTTATTTATGGACGCACTTTCATAAATATAATGTGATAAATAAAATTATGTTACTTCCATCTTAACTTTTTCATAAAAACAATATTAAAACTAAGAAATACATTCTTTTACAC